CTATATTTGCAATATATCGAGTAACAAGATGAGTTGGAATTTGAAGGTACGAATAGTGAGATTATGGCACATTCCAGACCGTGACAAACCAGACAACACCGTCTCCCTTGAATTAATTATTCAAGACGAAAAGGTGCATTCTTTTTTAGTTGCACTTATTTTTTCATACAAATTTGACTACAATCTCCATCTTCTGCTTTGTACTATGAAATTCATTAGGTTAAATATGTATTTAATCAACTGCAATTTAGATTAGTATTTACCATCAAATATGTTGTATGTATTATTTTGGAAAGGCAAGCATTCACATATTATGTTTTACCCATTGATGCTTCATTTTTTAATATACTCTGTGACAACACCGTACAACTAAGTTTGTCTGACTAAATATTAATTATGAATTTTTTGTTTCTAGGGAGATCATATTCATGCGACTGTTGGTCGGTCTCTTATACGTATGTTCAAACCAAAGATAAAAGAATTGGGTTTGTACTTTATGAAGAACTTTGTGGTTGGACCAAATTATACGAAACTTAAATACACGCGGCATAAATTAAAGTTGGCATTTACTCATAAGACGATTGTAGAGGAAGCAAATGATCATCTTTTTGGTATGGGTATCTTCAACTTAAAACCTTATGAGTATTTAATAAACAAAATTGATGTTGAAGAAAGTGAACTCTTCGGTAAGTATTCAATTAGCAGTTCTTTTATTTGAATGTCTTATCAACTTTGTCCTGATCATTTTTCTAAATTATTATAGATGTCATTGAAGAGGTTGTAAGTTATGGTGAAGTAGAATCACATAACTAAGGTGATAAGACCAACACTTATATGAATGTGGAACTTGAAGATCATGAGTAAGATTGCGTCTATGAATTTACTTTGTTATATATTTTAACATGATTACTTATCGGTGTCTGATTAAGTTGTTATATATTAACATGATTACTTATCGGTGTCTGATTAAGTTGTTATATAAATTACACAAGAAGAATAATATCTCGGCAACATTTTGGGGAGAATTCGTTGACCAAATCTTGCTACATTTAGAGGGATCACCCCATGAGCCGGTCATAGTTGTTATGCAGTTGATAAAAGCTCACAAATTTCAAGGTATTTCTATTGTCTTGATGACATGGGATATTTTTTTATGTTAATTTTTTGGTTCAGAATCTAAAGTTATATATAGGCAAATATTCTGTGCGTAATACTTGGCATGCCTCAAAGCTCTAGATTAACTCGGATCTTCCTCAAATTGTTGATTTTAAGTTCAGGTTAGTTATTTCATATATTAAGTTTATGTGGATACTGCAAAAATAATTGTTTATGGTTAAAACTAATACAACCTTGCGTAAATACAGATTGGCAAGTGTGAATGAAGCTAACTCTTCCAGGATTAGTCAAATACCTTATCACCGTAGTTATTCTGTTTCTGATGAGTTAGCTACTGGAACTGTAGAAGTTAAAACTATTAGAGAATTGATCGACTGCATGAAGGTGACTAATCTATTAAACTCTTTTAGTATTTAACTAATGTTATGTTGTGTATGCATAACACTGATAGGTGTAAAAATACTATTTGTTTTCCTAAATGTGCACATATATATTTTTTGGAATCCCTGTTACATAAGTTTATGAGCATTTCACAATAAAAAACTTCACTAATAAAAAGGAAACCTCCACTGCAGCATGTAAGAGCTAAGACAGTTCATGATTTGGTTGTAGTAGATTGCATACAACAGAACCATTTTTTTTTTGAAAGACAGTGCACTCAAAAAGTTATAATCTGGAATTTATTTATAAACTGCAGACATGCTACTCAACAAAAGGAGATGAGCAACCACATAACTTTGTTCGATCTTAATTATTGTTACTAAAATATTGATTCACAACCAATTGTATTGACCTTCAGCAAATAGGGAAGCTCCATAAATAATGGATGAAAGCAATCAACTCTTGCAGAATTTGCACAATAACACAAGTATCCTGCTTAATCGTTGATAAGGAATTACTCAAGTTAAGCAGGATCTGATGAGCATTTCACAATAAAAAACTTCACAAAGAAAATATTCATTTTGATAGACATATTTCTTTTTGACAAAGTTGGTAGGAAACTTTTGTTATAGACATATGTCATGGCCTCATACTTTCTTTACTGTGGAATGGTTCAGTTGGAATCAAATTAGCAATTTTAATGTACGTGGAAATGTAGCATTCTTTTCCGTGTGGATTGGTCCTATTTGTTGGGTATTAACATCTGAAATCTTCCCTTTAAGACTTGGAGCCCAAGCATCAGCTCTTGGTGCAGTGGAGAGCAGGGTTAGTAGTGGTGTGGTTGTAATGTCTTTCCTCTCCGTTTCTCGAATGATTACAGTAGGAGGAACATTTCTTTGATTTAAATCCTAAATGCTTCTAGTGATCTGTTATTCCCTTATGCACGTCTGTTTTATTATTCTAATATGTAAAATTTAACCACTGCTCATAATCTCATATAAACAAATTAATAATTGAGATAAATGAGAAGGTATTGAATCTGAATGCTTACAGATTGAACTATTGAAGGTATCATTTAATGAAACTAATTGAATATCTATGTTTAGTTGCTTATCTATTTGGTTTTGGATATAAATGGAATTTTCACAGCTTATGTTCCTTGGCATTTATATTAATATTCCAACAATCAAATTTACTAGATACATTGCTACAACTTGACTTCTTTTCAGGAAGGACACATTTGGATTGTTGCGACTATAGTGAATCTTCTACTTGAAAAAGAATGGTCATATTTGGGATGCAAGAGATGCTCGAAGAAGGTTGACAAAATTGGAAGTAAATTTCACTGCAAGAAATGTGATCGCCTTGGTAGTTCTGCCACTCATAAGTTTGATAAGCTTCACTATTTACTGTGAAATAGAACTAAAGTTGCAAGTTACAAAAATAAAGACCAATCTTTACTATAAAATATTAAATAAAACTAAGGTTTCAATTGCTTATTCTAAACGTGTCTTTCAGGTGCAAGCTTCGAGTGCAAGTAATGGATCACACTGACTTTATATCTTTGTTGCTTTGGGATCGTGAAGCAACAAGTCTCATTGGGAAGTTTGCTAATGAGTTAAATGAAATTTCAATTGAGGTATATTGTTTTTAATTGTTAGTATATTTTTTCAATAAAGGTAAGAAAGGTAAATATGGTATATTTTCAATATTATAATAAAAATTAACTCGAACCTCTAGTACACCCTTAAATTAATTGGAACTGGCCATTTTTTTTATCACTCAAAAGGAAGAGCTCTATTATTTTTTTTGAGACCATTCCTACCAGAATGAAAAGTAGGATAACAATTTAAGGGATGGTTTAGTAGTTATACTTTTTATTTTAATTCTTTGTGTTTTCCCATATCTAACACTAATTCGGTCTTAGACTTATGCTGCTATTGATGAGTGTTCTTATCCAGTGGAGTTGTATGATATTCTTGACAAAAAAGTCTTGTTTAAAGTGACTATCAAGAGCTCCAACATTAAAGTGCATGCGGAAGTTTATAATGTTGTTAAAATCAGCGAGGACACCTTATACAACAATATAGTCAATCTCCACAAGATGATACATTCATTGTATGTGATCGTTACTCAAATACTTCATAATATACTAATTTTTCTGTGACGACCCGACCAGTCATCTCATGAGTTACTGCTCCGTTTCCCCTATTTCAGCTTCTTTATGCTTCGTTATCCGTGTTTTGTGGTATCGGGTTGGATGGATCGAGTCCGGAATGAGTTTGGTGAAGTTTGAGACACTTAGTCTCTTTTAAGAAAGCTTAAGTTGGAAAAGTCAACCGGATATTGACATAGTTAGAAGGCTCGAAAGTGAGTTCCGATGGTTCGGTTAGCTTTGGGAGGTGATTTGTGACTTCGGAGCGCGATCGGAATGAGTTTTGGAGTTGTAGAGAAGATTTAGGCTTAAATTGGTGAAGTTAATATTTCGGCGGTTCCGGTTGATAGGCGAGATTTTGATATAGGGGTCGGAATGGAATTCCGAGAGTGACAGTAGTTTCGTTGTGTCATTTGGGATGTGTGAGCAAAATTTTAGGTCATTCGGGCGAGATTTGATAGACCTTTTGATCGAAAGTATAATTTAAGAGTTCTTTGAGTTCTTAGGCTTGAATCCTATGTTAAATTGGTGATTGATGTTGTTGTGAGCGTTCCGAAGTTTTGAACAAATTTGAGCGATGTCATGGGATGTGTTGGTACAATCGGCTTGAAGTTCCGGGAGTTCCGGGATAATTTAGGCCGAAAATCATAGTTGTAGCAGGTCCAAAAGGGTTACAGGCCTCGGAACCCACCCGCGCGGTCCGCACAAAAAGAAGTGCGGCCGCGGTATGTGCTGTGCGGACCGCACAAAATGAAGTGCGGCCGCGGTAGGTGCTGTGCGGACCGCACAAAATACAATGCGGCTGCGATGGGGAATATTTCACTGGTCCTATTTCGGAAGCTCATATCTTTTGATCTACAAGGAATTTTGAGATGATTCAAAAACAAAAGTTATTTCCCTTCGTGTCTAGTTTCCAGAAAGGTAAAGATAATTTGGACATCGGTAGCGAAAGTTATGGTCAAAATACTAAAGCCTGTCACTGCAGAAGAAAGCATGTGCGGCCGCGGTCGATTTTGTGCAGTCCGCGAAGGTGGAAATTTGTGGGGTACTCTATAAATACAAGGTTTTGGGTTTTATTTGATATTTTGACCTAGAGAGCTCGGATGTTGGCGATTTTTCGAAGATTTTTCAAGAAATTCATCGGGGTAAGTAATTCTAACTCAGATTTGGCTAGAGTACATGAATATATCATTGAATTCATTATTTAATTCGTGATTTAGGAAGAAAATTGTGAAATCTTTCAAAACTGTAAAATGATGATTTGAAGGACCAAATAGTATCAGAATTGGATAATTTTCATATGGTTAGACTCGTGAGAGTATAAGGATTCTAGTTTTGTGAATTTTGTCAAATTTTGAGATGTGGGATCTGGGGTCGGGTTTGACCAATTTTTGGAATTTTGTGGTAATTTGATTGTTTTCGCTTGGGCTTTGTTCCCTTAGCATATTGTGACATATTCGTTCTGATTTTGGATAGATTCGACGCGCATGGAGGCCGATTCGAGGGGCAAAGGCATCGCGAGTTAGAGATTTAGCTGGTTCGAGGTGAGCAATGATTGTAAATGATGCTCTGAGGGTTTGAAACCCCAGATCGCACATCGTAGTGCTATATTGAGGTGAGGCACACGCTTGATGACGAGCGTGGGGTCGTGCACTATTAGGGATCGTGACTTGGTCCATCCCAATTGATGATTTTACTGCGTATTTGACTGAAACTTATTTGCTATCATCATGATTTGGGCTGATTGCCATATATGGGGTTTGTGCCAACTATTTGAACCCTTCGGGGATTTTTATTACTATTTTCTCACTGTTTTGACTTATTACTTGAACTCAGTCATGTTATTTTCTACTGTTTTACTACTCAGCCATCTTTACTCAGTTTTTAGACTTAAATGATGTTTTAGGCTGGGAAATATTGTTTTACTATTTCCCGAAGGGCTTGTGATGGTTTTTGGACTGAGTAAGGCCAAGGGTCTAGTTGTGAGGATATATTGATACTGATATGAGGTCGAGGGCCTGAGATACATAAATATGCCACGAGGTGGCTTGATTGATATGAGGCCGAGGGCCTAGATTTGATGCCACGAGATGACTTGATATTGCGTTTGGGCCGTAAGGGGCCCCTCCCGGAGTCTGCACACCCCCAGTGAGCGCAGGTACCCATTGTGATGTGAGATTGAGCCCGAGGGGCGAAAATTGTTGATGTTGTGCCCGAGGGGCGAGTTTCTATGTGTTTACTTTATCATAACTGTCTGTCAATTACCGGTTTATTTATTATAGAAGTACTTTATTTTGCTTTTCATTGGTTTACTGCTTACAAATTACCTATTTAATTGCTTCATTATAGAATACCCTGTGTATACGTGTTTTCTTACTTTCAGTCATTATTTATCTTTATTACTCACTAAGTTGGAGTACTCACTTTACTCCCTGCACCCTATGTGCAGATTCAGGCGTAGCTGGTACCGCTCCTGAGTGCTGATTCCTCTAGTTTCGGGTGGTTTTTCGGAGACTACGAGGTAGTTGTTGACATCCGCAGCCCCGTGTCTCTACTACTCTATCATTTCTGTTTCCTTTCAAACACTTGTAGTAGTTTATGACTTTAGCAGACTAGTATTATGGTTTAGAGATGTTCGTGGCTTATGACACCCCGGTTAGGGCTGTGTCGGGTTGGACTTTCCGCATTGTTATCGATATTTCCGCTATTTAGTATTATTTAAATTATGTTTAGACTATTTTTATGTTGATTAACTGCTTTAAAAGTTGAGTTGGGTTGAACTGGCTAACCTTATCTTCACGAGAGGCGCCTTCACGACCGGGTTCGGGGTTAGGGTCGTGGCATTTCCTTTTGATTTTATATAAGGGGTTATCAAGTTTAAATTAATTATGTTATTATTTTCTTAATAGGACCCTGATTTTGAGTGTGAACAACACACTAATGCAGACACAACTTTCAAGGTGACTAATTCAAAATTTGCTTGTATAGCTTCTTATCTACAATATGATTTTTAATAATTAATTTTTCCTTTGTAGGATTCAATGGCTGAAAATGAGATAACTTCTCCCGCAAAGACCCCTGCCAAAAGAAGTAGAGAAGAGGATGGGTCATCTGTAGTAGATGTTGGTGATGATCTTGCACAATTTTCAAGTAACAAGGTTAAAAAAGTGATCAAACAGGAGAAAAATCCGTGAATTAAAACATTTACTTCCTTTTAAATGACATTATTCATAAAATTTCATTAGCAAGTACTTTGGCACAAATTGAAGTAGTTTGGTTTGTATTTAATTTGGTTTCTACCATTTAGGATCATGATTTAATATCTGAAATTAGTTGACTCTTTGTGATATGAAGTTTACTTATGTCAGAAGTGCAACTGCATCAGTGCAACTACATATTTTTGAAATATTGCATTAATATCGCATGTGAACATTTATGCTATTATATCATCAAAAAATGACGAGAAGTAACTTTTGAATGTTATATGTGTAGTTAAGGTTTCTGTCAGACTTCAAACTTCTGATATATGTGTAGTGTATCAAATATTAGAGTCCAATAAAATGGGATATCACTAGTATAGTCAAATGGAAAAAGGTTCCTAAAGTGTAACCTTTATGTATGAGATATTGAAGGCCCATTGTGATGTACATTGTTTGAATCGGACGAAAATCTCGAAAAACCGTGTAGATACTCCATGTAGTTTGGATGGGGTAAAACCTGAAAGGCTTTCTCCAGCTCCTCCAGTAGCACCATGTATAGTTCCATTCAAGCGCCCTTATATAAGTGCTTCTCATTATTTGTTCAAATATTCTACAGTAAACATCAACAATAGTTATCTTTGCATCAGTCAATTAGATGAATGCAGAGCTATTTTAATTATGTCGTTTAAAAGTAAATATGATAATACGAAAAAATCCTAATATTTGAAGTATGCTTTAACTAAATATCGGACGATAAATGAGCAACAGAGGATGGAGTCTGGGGTTGGTAGTAAACAAAATATGCAGTAAAGTAAGGAGTATAAATTACTTGGTAATCAGGAATGATGTGCGTTACAGAAGAATTGCATCAGATAACAAAATACATTGAAATACCAACTTTACCATCCATCAATTAGATTATTAATATGCACCAGCACAAACTATATATATGTACCAGCAGAACACTTAGAAACTATTCACAAATCAAAATGTTACTTAGAAGAGTTGCTTCACTACAATCTCAAGGTACATTTTACTAGGCTTACCAATAAAAAAATATAATTATGGCAAAGAAAATCAAGAATAAGAAGAAGCCAATTGCTACATACAATCAAGTCTATAAACCTGTACGAATCACTTTAAAGTAACAAAAAAAATACTAAGGCTCTTAGAGAGCCGTACACTCTGCATCCGCTATGTAGTAATTAGTTTGTATGATTTTGCTCATGTGATGCAAGAATACCTTTTAAGTTCCAGCGAAGACAATTTTCAATTGTTGTATCTTTTGCCATGACAATTAATAAAAGTCAAGGTCAGTCATTGTCTCATGTGGGATTATTTTTGAAGAAGCCAGTATTTACTCATGGACAACTATATATTGCTCTTTCACGCTTGACGAGTAGAAAAGGGTTGAAGATTTTAGTTTATGATGATGATGGCCAAATAACAAATGAATCTAGAAATGTGGTGTATAAAGAAGTTTTCCGTAATTTGGTTTGAGATGAATCTAGACATGATGGAATTATCAGGTATTTACAATTTGCTTTTCCAATAAATATAAGGAGAGATGACTATAAGTCTTAACTGAGCTGTCACTGTTGTTTTGGCAGGGGCGAGAAGAAACTAGGTTCAGCAACACAGTAGAGGATATCAAGGTATCTTCATAACTACAATTTTTGAGTTATTACATTTCCTTCTATTGGGGGGTTGAGAAGTATTGGCTCTATGTATAGAAAGTTAATTCAATAGTTTCTCCCGGGAAAACTACCGTGAAGCACCAATATATGTTAACTTCTGTTAGCGATAAGTATAACCAAAATACTTAATCATGTAAATCTCTGAAAACTATGTTGCACTCTCAACTGTTTTTACTGTTCAAGTTATTCCACATTGCTAGAAAGGCTTTTTTTACTTTTCCCATTATATAAAGATGCCCAAATACTTCCCTTATTATCTGCTTAGTGGAACATTATGTCAGGATTATCTGTTGTTAGTTGTTACTATTATAGGTTTTGATTGAAAAATGGATGTATTGATATACTTTTTTAATCTTTTACTGGATATGATTGATAATTTAGTTGTTGTCTGTAGGTTATGGTTGAAGGTTTTTCATTGTTAAGATATAGGTTTTTTCATGACGCAGAGGACAATATGTTTGAATTGATTGATACTACTTTTAGTTATACAAGTCTTAAATTGTGACTGTTATTGCACTATGTTCAATTTTTTGTTTTGTTTTTTGGAAACATATGTAAGTGAAGTTAATGTCTAGGTGCCTATCTTATTCTATTCGTTCATTTAGTTATAGTTGAAACTGTAAGGTTGGCAGAGTTACCCGGTAACTGTGCTGGTGGAAGGTAGCCAGTACCTGATGCAATAGTCGAGGTGCGCACGAGCTAGCCCCGACAACATCGTCATAAAAAGAAAAGAAAAAAGAAAGAGAAAGAACAAAATAAATAAAGGAAATCCGGGGCATTCTTTTCGCGACCTGACAAGGAGTGATTAGGGCGATCCTCTAGATGTCGTGCACTGATAGACATATGGAGGTCTAAGTTACAATTTTCTACCATCTTGATTGGTTATGGTTCCACCGAGTGCTGCTGATTCGTGGAACTTAATGTAGGATATGGTTCGTGTATGGCATTTGGAGAGTTTGTCCGGAGCTAACAAATGAATCTAGCACAATGGTCTCAACAGCATTTCGGAGAGGGGAATTCCATTCTTGAGGCGCTTGATGAAGAAGTCATGGAAACAAGTAACTTGGAACAGATGATAAATGTTTTTAAAGTAGAACTGATATGCACTGGAGCATCACCATCTGGTAGGCCGTCAATGAAGGAGGTCTGCAACATTCTTCGAAGCTACAACGAACCCCAATTATTGAGGGAGTGCAATGTTTAGTCGTAAGTAAGACATAGTTGTATTTGTAAATACAATAGAATGAGAAAGCCATGTTGGCGATGATGTCTTTCAGAGATTAATTAGTCCTATGCTTTTTCAGCATTCAACTTCCTTGATACTCACGAAATTGTTAACTGAACTGTCAAAACAGATCAATAATTCTCATCTATTTCAATTTATGTAACACTTTAAAATGCAGTTAATTTAAATTAGACCTCAATATCTAAATTGAAAGAATTTGTCTTATTATATACCTTTTTGGATATACTCTTAATCTTGATGCTTACTCAGTGAAGTAGGAAGTGTGATATCATGCATGAACGTAGTTAGAGGAGTCTTCCTTTAGAAGATTTAAGCTTCACCTACTCAACTTAGTAGTTATTGGATGTAATGTTCTATGTATAACTTGCATTTCTATGTTACAGGGGTGACTTTAATATCTAATACATTCTGCTTCTTATCTACAATATGATATTAATAATTTATTTTCTTTTCTGATTGTATGGTAAGAACAATATTGTCATACTAATATTCAAAAGTACCATTTGCGTATCGCGCGGGTTTTAATACTAGTATATCATGAACTAAAGAAATTGAAAATCAAGCTAGGTATATCAATTTATAAGTTGGGTCCCTCCAGGATCCTTGCAAAACTAGTTTCAAGTACAAATCTTGCCACGGTAATTTGCTGAGAATTACTTCAAGAATTTTAACCTTGCTTAGCATTATTCCCATCAAGAAAGTACACAAAAGCTAGTAAATGATTAATTTCATTGGACTATTATAGTCTATTTGGTCAAGCTTCTCCGAAAAAATATATTTTTTTTAAAAAACAAGTATTATGTTATTTTAGAAGTTAAAGTGTTTGGTTTTAGAATAAAAAAAATATTTTTGAGTGGAAGCAGAAAAAAGTAGTTTTCCCCAATAGTACTTTTTTGAAAAACACTTTTATAAAAAATACACTTAGAAGTACTTTTTAAAAGTTTGGTCAAACAATAATTCATGTTCAGAAGTGTTTTTCAAATTAATGTCAAACACAAACTGTTTCTCACAAAAATTATTTCTGAAAAAGCACTTTTGAGAAAAAATATTTTTTAAAAGAAACTGATTTTAGAAATAGGCCAAACAAACTGTTAGGCCTCATTTGTTTGCGCTTAATGGAAGTCTGAATCTTAATCAATCAGATCTTAGACATTAAGTGCGTTTGTTTTTAAAGTCTGAATCTTAATTATTCAGATCTTAATCATTAATTTTTTTTTTACTTTACAACCACTTTATGGGTCTGAATAGGTCTGTATGATTCAGATCTATAACAGAGACTTAATTTCATTAAAATGCTATTACATATTCATTATTAATTGCCGCCACAGCCTACCATTATCAACTACCACCACCATACTCAACCACCAGCGCCACCTCCACCACCATCACACCACCATCATCCCCAATCATAGTCGCCGCCATTATCGACCATCACCACCCACTATCCCCACCACTTCGACCACCATTATTCTCACCCACAATCAACACTCATCCACCTTAACTACCACAACTGACTATCCTATCACCATCAACAACCACGGCCGACATTGCCCATCATTATAACCTACCACCACCCACCCACTAGGTTCCTCAGTCACAACTACTACCACCACCCGCTATTATTAACTATTGCCACTCATCATTACCACCACCACCACCATCACCATCCTCAATCATAATTGTCACCACTACCAATCACTACTAACTACTAGCATGAACCACCATCATCAACCAACACTACCACCAACCACCGCCTCTAGTCAGTATTCACCCGTTAACCATCACTACCACCAACTATCATATTTTAAAAAGTTATATATTTTATTGATAAAATATTAGATTAGTTAGTATTTCATTTGAATTTTATGTTTATTAATTTTCAAATAAAGATAAATTTTATACATTCAGATGTTAAAAATCAAACAGTCTTAATTATTTAGTATTCAGATCTTAATATACATCTTAATATATTCAGATATGTATTCAGATTCAGATATCTTAATCTTAATACACATCTTGATATTCAGATATGTATTTAAATTCAGACGTCTTAATCTTAAAAAAAAACAAATGAGGCCTTAGTCTCTCGCTCTCTCTCTCTCATTTTTCTTTTTCTGGGTTTTGTAAATTAGTTATTCACTTAATTAATAATATGTGATTTTACATGTGTTACTTCATTTTTGACATGTTTCATAAAAA